TATACGCAACCCACATTTATTCGAGTTAGGCCTGAGTTACCCGCACCTAGACGAAGTCGATTTTTGCGGTAATGGACATTGCAAGATCTCTTAGAATGAATTTAGACGGCTGGAAACTTCGTATTAATCAGTTCGTTTGTTTATTGTTGGTTAGGTGGTGAATTGACGCAAGATACAGGAGCATAGCAGTGTGTAAGTAGCACCGGGGCGAGTGTGTGCGTTATTTAGTGTTAACAAAATGGTTTTGGTGCTGATTTTTAGTTAGAATAATTTATTTCGTGCATTAGAAATTGTTAGTCTTGGTTGTGTGAACTCTTAGTGATTGTTGTTGAGTTACGTGTTACTGTTGTCATTGTTAGACATTATGAGAATGCATGATTTCTTATCGTTGGTTGTGATTGATCAGTTCTGATTATTGTGGTTGGGAGTAATTAACCCATGACGTTTGTAAACAGGTCGGAGATGAAATGCATGTGTTGATAGCCTGTTATCTAGTTTTGTATTGTTTTGTTGGAAGCTGTTGGGTTAGTGTTTTGTTTGGTATGATGAAAAGCATGCTGGTATATTGTGCTGTGAATTGAAATGTGGAAGACTTACTTATAGGTTGTCTTTGGAGGATTAGTGGGAATTGTCAAGAGTGATGGGTCGGGTTAGTGGTTCGTTAACCTAGGGGTTGTCTGAATTGAAGATGCATACTAGTCGTTTGGTTATTCAAAGCCTTGAGTGGATGCCTTGGGAATAAATGGCAAGGCCGAACATTAGGTTCTATGGAGAAGTATTGGGGTCTTGGGAAGAAATGTCAAGAACCAATACGACTCGAAGAGTTAGACTCGGAGGACTAACGTGGAGTGGTGCTTATGAGTATCAGTTCAAGACCTTGGGAATAAATGGCAAGGTCGAACACCAAGCATTGAGGGAGGTCGGTATCTTGGGGATAAATGTCAAGAGCCGTTACGCCTCGAAAAGTTAGACTTGGAGTACCAACATAGGGTGTAGAGCGAGTTTTAGTTCAAGTGGGACAAAGGCTAGTGGGTCGTGTGGCTGAAGTCCCGGAAGTCTAGGCGTTGGGTTGTTTGTATGGGAATGTTAAGCTATTATTATTATCCCTTGCTGCCTATCTTTTTGTTCTGCTATTGTTTTGTTTTGATGTGGTTGTGATTACGAGCGTGTTGTTATGTTTAGTTAGGGTAGGCTACTTACGGAGTATTTTATGTACTCACCCCCCTCTACCTTATTTGTTTCAGGTGTGAACAGGGCTGACCGTGGTGATGACGTGGAGGAGGATTTACTGAGGAGGGATCACTAGCTGTGTTGGTTAGCATAGGGAATAATGTCGTGCATTGCAGATATCGTTAAAATCTTATTACTATGAATTAAAAGGGGAATTAGACATTGGGTTAACTCAAAGGATACTTTCTCTTATTGCTTTATGGATATTTTTACTATTCGAATTACTGATGTATTTTGGTTTACTAGACAAAACGATTATTTTCTTTTGATTGGATCCCTGACCATTGAGGCGGTTATTATTTCTGGATATACCATTGTTGTGTACCTCCATTTTGTATGTTGCATTAAGAGAACATTACATTTTTCGTTACCTTAAATAGAAGGGTTCACTAAGCGTTATAGGGTTGTTACTTCGTTAAACGTATCAGAAATTCGGGTCTTTACAAAGTTGACCCGTAAGAATGCCACTTTCGCTTGGAGCGATGGATGCGAGAATAGTTTTCAAGAACTAAAGGAGCGTTTGGTCACGACCCCGATGCTAACGGTACTGGATGGGACGAGAGGTTTAGTGGTGTACAGTGATGCTTCACGGAGGGGGTTGGGTTGCGTTCGGATGCAACATGGGAAAGTCATTGCCTATGCCTCGCGGCACTTGAACGTACACGAGCTTAACTACCCCACCCATGATTTGGAGCTTACTGCGGTGGTGTTTGCCTTAAAGATATATGAAGACACTACCTGTATGAGGAAAGGATTCAAATCTTCACCGACCACCAAAGTTTGAAATATTTCTTCACTAAAAAAGAACTTAACCTAAGGCAGAGGAGGTGGTTAGAGCTGGTAAAGGACTATGACTGTGAGATTAATTACCATCCGGGTAAGGCGAATGTGGTGGTCGATGCACTCAGTAGAAGGGCATCGAGCGTAGCACCCCCGGCAGTGCCTCCTAGACCAGTATTAGACGAGTTGGACCGTTCTGAGGTGGAGTTAGTGGTGGAAGATGTCTCGACAGTGTTGGGTGTGTTGCCCTAAACTCGTAGTTTGTATTTGTGTAAAAACAAATGTATATTCAATGAAGTTTTATTCAATAAATTTGTTGTTGAGTTCATAGCATTGCATTGTCCAAAATCCAATAAGCTAAACATCCGAGGTTATTTTAGTGTAACCGGGACAGTATATGTACTGGGTATATATTTGATATACTGGGTATATATTTGATATACCTCTGATATACGAGGTATATATTTGATATACAAGTGGATAATGTCCCGTGAATTACCTAAAGGGTCTATAGTATATGGATAAGGCTGGGTACCTTATCCTGGCAACACTATGGATACGACCCATTCTATGAAGGTTACAGACGACTCGATCCAGGTCGTTCGTGTGGAGACATGCGAGTGGGGGTATCCTATACAATGAGTTTGTATAAGACTGGACCACGAAATAGCCAATTTTAGATGTAACACCGTTAACTAATAGATTGTTGTTTCTTAGGATGACCAGACAACTCATTCTCAATCCTGAGTGAGTTATGGACTCCTGCCCGTGAAGGCTCGTCCTTTGATCTGTATGGGAGAGAGTGGCTCAAGTTGCCGACTCAATATTCCTACTATTTTGGGGACGAGACCGAGTGGGGAGCTGGGAACATAACTTCAAAAGATGGAATTCACTCCTCCCCGACTTTAGGGGAGTAGATGAGTGTTCTCTTAAATGCTGACTTCGGGACTTGAACAAGGGGCTCCACCGTCTCATTGGCCCGAGAGGGACTTCTGGTTATTGGTCGGACCATAATCGGGTTGTTCATTAGAGGAGCAGTGGTATTTAAGGAGTAAGATGTAACTCAGGAGTAAAACGGTAATTTGACCCAACTTGAGTTACGAGCACTCGTGAAGGATTGACTCATTATTAATGGTCGTATATCCATGGACACGAAAACATTCTGCAGTGAGAAGAGTGCAACTGCGAGTCTTTAGTGGAA